ACCAATGACTTTAACAATTCTGTGTGACAAGTGTGTTTTTATCTTATTATCCCTACTTATTCACTCTCATTACTCTATTTTCCCCAAAACCTTCTCAAAAACCCTAGAGCATCTTTTACCCACAAGTCTCAAACTCTTCAAGCTTCCTTCCATGGCTTCATCAAGACCTACAAAGAGAAGATTGGTAAAAGGAAGTTCCTCTTCTCAACAAAACCCTGATTCGGTAACTACTTTGTCTCTACTTTCTGATGATTTGGTTGAGTCTTATTCAAAGAACTTTAGTAAGAGAAAAATTGTTAAGCAATTTGTAGTGTACAAGTAAACCCTAGGTCGGTTAAATCTACCACATGTTGTTGAGTTGTTGAGATTTCAGAAACTCGGTGTCTTTTTGGAATGTGATACCGCATACAATGAAGAGTTGATCAAATTGTTTTATAATGGTCTTCAAGGTAGTTTTGATGGGAGAACTTTTAGATATAAGATGAATAACAAGGTTTATACTGTTAATTCTGAGATTTGGACGGAGTTCAAAATGTTTCCTCCAAGTCCGATTGCTATCAAAATTACCAATATCGATAACTTTGAGGGATATGACTTTAAGGTTACTCTAAATTCTATACTGAAACATTCATTCTCTGAAAGTGTTGTGAAACTTATTTCCAAAGTCGGTCACATCGGGTGCATTAAAACTGCTTGATCGTATCCTGCAGTGGATTGTCTCTTGCATCATTCTCCCTAAGAGGGTGGATACTCAAGGGTTGATCAGCCTGAGGTGCACTTGGTCTATGCTATCAAGAACAAAATGAGGATCAATTGGCCTTACTACTTTGCGAGTAGAATATATAATCTAAAAGATTCGGGTAGAGGAACAGCGTTGGGCTATTCTTCCTTTATTCAACATGTCCTCAACAAGGCCGTTATTGGTGTTCCTGGTCTTACCTTAATTGGATTATCAACTGATCAAGAGTCCACTCAAAAGACATTGACTATGATGGGTCACCAGTGGGGTGCGAGTCAACAATGGTATCAATATGTGGTAAGAAGTAATAATGTGTGCTTGCAGGAAGGAGATGATAGTGACGAGGAACATGATGAAGAAAATGAGGAAGGTGAGAATGTTGTTGCCATGGATGAAGATGAATTGCCGAGTGGAAATAATGCTACGATTTTGAATTTGCTTGAGTCTATGCGTCTTCAACAGGAGGAGAACTCTTCGCTTGTAAATGAGAGACTTACTACTCTATCAAACTATGTCAGGGTACACGGTGAATAATTTTACGCATACTCTACCATTCAAGATCAATGATACAATACTTTGTATGGGATGATGGAGTCTCAAGCGAACAACTTCACCAACTTCACCAACAATTTCATGCAACACTTCCATTTTAACCAACCATCAAATCCACCACCACAAGGAGGAAATGAGAGTGATGAAAATTAATGTTTTCTTTGGTCTTGTATTTTACTATTTTCATGAACTTTGGCTAGTATTTGTTGATTAATCATTTTTGGATTATGACTTACTTTGTGTTTGTCTCTCTTTGAACACCGATTTGTAACTAAACTATGTGATTGTTGTCTATTTATGTTTTTTTTCTTTGTTATGCCTTTCTCTAACATCTCTTTATGTGATTGTTTGTTAGAGTTATTGATTACCAAAGTAGATAATGGTCTAACCTTACTTGTATTGATTATTGTTATTTTTAACCTATTGATTTGTCTCTTTTTGATGTTGTCAAAGGGGGAGAAGCATGTGGAAGCCAGGAACAAATGATATGTAAGCCAAAACGAAACAAAATGAAAGGGGTGCACAAAGTTAAGGGGAGAAATCTCCGAGATTAAGATTTTGATACTTGGTACCAAGGACAAGTTTTTCCATCATAAAAAAGGGGGAGTATGTGAGGGCAAGGTTCCTTCAATAAGGGTTTCAATGATGTCAAAACTTTCCATTATATGTTGGAAATGTTGCTAGATGATATGATGGACAAGGAAGCATGAAAAGTCTTCAAAAATTGGTATTTTTGGAAATTTCTATGCTTTGAGTCGACTCAAAGGAAGCTCCCGTCGATGCATGATTGAAAGTTTCTCCTTGGGGAAGTCTCAGGTTTGCTCACGTCGACTGTGTGGTCGACTCAATCTAAGAGTAATTTTTAGGAACTATGTGTCAACGCATAGCTCTGGAGCGGTCAATGCATGGATCACGCACTTTGTCTTCTGGAACTCTCAGGAATGCTCAGGTCGAGTCCCCCTTTTGGCATAGGTTGACCGTTCGCTCGTTAAATATGTTTTTCAGCTTGTTAGTTTGGGTTTTGAATTGGGATAACATATATATAATCTTATTAGGTTCTATCATTTGGTTTTTCGACAAGAAAAGTGAAATGGATACACAAGGTACTCATCATCTTCAACCTCTCACTCATCCATTGACAACTGCACATAATAATTTTTATCGATCAAGGTGCGGAGCGTGTGTTGATAACGTCTGAAGTACAAGATTGCGATCTTGTTCGGGTTGAGTAATTATGGGTTTTTCTTGAATAAAATCTGAGGGTTTTGCCCTCAAAGATCATTGGGATTTAGAGGTTTTTGACAATTCTTTGCTTCATCCAAATTCAGTCGTGCTTAAGGGATTAGGGAACCAAGGGTTCGCTCGACAAGGTAGCTACAATCAGAGGATTGTGAAGGAAGAATTGGGGTCACCATCTTGCGATCAAATCAGCCGAGCAGAGGGTTTGAGAAACAGTTTGGGTTCTCAACAAGGTAGCTATAACCAGATGTTTATCGAAGATTGGTGACATACTTGGTTCAAATCGAATCAAGGGAAGAGAAGAGCTGAGTTTGAATTGTGGTGACTATTTTCTATCTCTTGTACAAATTTTGCAATCATAATAGCAATTATCCTAATTCTAAATTCTAGAATTATGGCAGAGTACCCCATTATGCGAGGACAACAGGGGGAACTGCCTAAACAAATCACGTGTCATTTTTCTTTCTCGTCTTTTACCGTTTACTTGCTATAATTTGTGAATTTGCACTTGTGGTTCCAAGTGTCTGGATTTATAGTGTGATAGAACTATTGCTAAGGACTATAGTAATTATTTTGATTGCTATAATTGATTTTAACAATACAAATTAAGATAGATTGGACTTGGTGTGATTACGTACACCAAGTGTTCGATAAAAGTCTAAAAGTGCAAATTTGTGAGTTTTATAGTCAACAATTCATTGGGAGTAACTGACAACAGTTAAAAAGTGTAAGTGATCAATTATAATTGAATTAAGTGTTAATAATTCCCATTGTTTCATTTCATTCGATTTTACACATATCCGGTCTTTTCAATAGAGAATCGCTTTTAGACGAGTATATCCAGATAGCTTTCATTGTGTTTTAAGTTTTCTTTAAAAACTCTTTTTAAAAATCACGGTATCTATTCAACCCCCTTCTAGATACGTCATATCGTCTACCAAAAACAAATTATCAATAAATTTAATAATTTTTTTTAAAACTCTATATTTTTTATACTAAAATTCCCAACCATGCAAATTCTGTGAACCAAAAAAAAAAAAGTAAAAAATGAGAATAAAGAATAGTTAAAATTTTAGAACCTGCAGAATTAAAACAGTGAAATAAAAAGATATTTCTGGTATTATTGAAACTCTAAATCATGCAATTCCTGTAAACCAAAAAGAAATGTAAAAAGTGAGAATAGGGAACAATTAAACATTTAAAACTCTTCACTCAGTTTCACCTTTTCCAACACCACAATAACAACATAGAACACAATTCTTCATTAACAAAACAACAACCTAATAACCTAACACAGACAAAAATAGAAACAAAACGAAGAAGAATGAGAGATATGCAAAACCGCAGGACCTTCGCGCCACCATCTGCACCGCGTTCACCCAGTCACCGCCCTCCCCACCTGATTTCGCTCACCAGTCTCCACCCTCGCCACCAGGTGCACCCTATCGCCGCCTTTGCCACCTAATTTCGGTCACTCGTCACTGCTTTTTTTCGCGTTCCGATTGGTTTTCTTTTACTCAATATAAATGCAAATAAAATGTCATGGAGGAAAATAATGGAAAGAGGATGGAAAATAGAGAGAGAAAGGAAGAGAAAATGAAGTTGTTAAGGCATAGAGGTGTTTTTTGAATTGATTTTCTTTTACTCGATATAAATGCAAATAAAATGTCATGGACGAAAATAATGGAAAGAGGATAGAAAGTAGAGAGAGAAAGGAAGAGAAAATCAAGTTGTTAGGGCATAGATGTGTGAAGCATATGGTTTAGATAGAAGAAATAAAAAAATGAAAGCTTTACAGTATACTTGATGAATGATGTAAACTTGTAAGAGGTTAGAATTTTAACTTATGAGAAAAATCTAAAAGTCATAAAGTATGATCAGAATCAATAGTTGGAAAATAAAATATTTAACCGTGTGAATTTATTTATCTGTAAAATTTGTAGAAAAGTAATCAAATTATTACATTACACCATTATTATTGTTAAAAATTTAATGAAATTTTTAAAAGATGAAAATGACAATTAAGTCTATAAAATAAGATTTAAGAATAAATTTAATTAAGATTAGAATATAAATATGTCCTATTACTTTTCTAGATACTATAATCGAGTTTTAAAAAGTAGTATTTTTTATTTATTTATATTTAAATATTTAAAAAAGTTACTTATATAATGATATTAAATATCATTAAATATACTATGATGATATATATCTATTAATATCTTTTTCAAAAAGAATATAGTCTTGACCTATGTATATATATTTGACCTATGAATATCTCTTGTTGTTTGGCGCCATTTCTTGTGTGCCGTCTCGTCTTCACTTGATATCTCTCCCTCTGTCTTGCACACCAACGTGCGAGTCTTGTTCCTTTCAATTCAATAACACTTTTTATTTTTTAAATTTCTCCCCTAACGTAGAGCGATTTTTCTTTATTTTGTTTGTTGATCTTGTTCTTTTGTCTGTAATAATGGCTGGTGGCGTTTCGAGTCGAACTCGTAGCAAGAATGTTCGGTTGTTCAATACTATTTCCCTTGATGGATCATCTTCCTCTAAATTAAAGCGTAGTAGAAAGAATTATGAAGATGAAACAGGTTTTGACTCTGCTTCTTGTTCTAAAAAAACTAGGGTAAAACAAAAGCCTTTTGTCTTGTCTCAAAATATTAATGTTATTTGCATTGATGATGATGATGATGATGATGATAATGAGAAGATGTTGGAGGGTGACGACGATGTCAAAAGAAAAGTAGGGAGTGATGAAAGTGGAAGAGTTGATGGGTTTGATGCTAAAAAACAAGAAGAGAGTGTCGGAGGAAGTCATGATCACTTTGTTGATGAAAACTGTGATTGGACATCTGAAACCTCAATTACAAATTCGGATGATGAATCTGATTCTGAATCTGATGATGATGAAAGTGATGAAAGTGAGACTAGTGATGAAGAATTTCAAGTTAATGAGGTGAGTGAAGTTTCTGACAATGATAATATCAGTTCTTCTTATGATGATGATGATGATGATGATGATGATGATGATGATGAAGACGTGGAGGAGGAGGAGGAGGAGAAAAAAGAGAAGAAAAATGTTTGGAGTGTGGTGGAGGAGCTGGTGAGAGAGGTGAAAGATGAAAAAAGTGGAGTGAAAGATGGTAAAAGTGGAATTTCGGAGAGCAATAGTATTGAGGAGGTAGAGATTGAGAATAGTCCTTCTTCTGTACACAATGAAGAATCGGAGAATGCAGATTATGGTAGTGTAACAGCCTCTAGTGCCTTAGAGAAGAAGGGTTCTTTTGATCCAATGAAAGCTTCTTCTTCTTCAAACCTGAATGAAGCATTCTCAGAGACAAGAAAAGCAAAAAGTGTGGAAATTGTCTCTCTTGATGATGATGATGATGATGATGATGATGATGATGATGATGATGATGATGATGATGATGATGGTGATGATGATGATGAAAGTGTGAATGTTGGTGATTATGATGAAGGAAAAGAGCAATATGTCCGAGGTTTAGGCGTTGAAGGAGTTTCTTTGTTTCAAACGAAACGAGAAAAAATGGGGAATTCAGATAAACGCACAATCATGGAGGGCAAAAAAAGGGATCATGAAGGTAGAGCTAACATCTGTAATGGTGAGAAGAATGAATCCATGGAGAACAAAGAAAGGGATCATAGAGGTAGAGTTAACATCTGTAATGGTGAGAAAAAGGAATTCATGGAGAACAAAGGAAGGGGTCATGAAGGTAGAGTTAATATCTGTAATGGTGAGAAGAAGGAATCCGTGGAGAACAAAGAAAGGGATTGTGAAGATAGAGTTAACATCTGTAACGGTGAGAAGGAGGAATTTATGGATAACAATGGTTGGATGAATCAAAGAGATAAAAACACACTTTTTCTGCCAAAGGAGTTGCGTTTGACTAAACGCCTTGCTGAATTTTACTGGGGCAACAAGACTGCAGTGAAGAATGATTCTGTTGTGATGGAGGTGAAGGGTGACGTCGTTGATTGGCAGCCACCTCTGGTTTCGGTTGAGGCACATCCATTGATATGGAGCCTTAAGAAGGTGAAAAAATTGCAAAAGACCATAGAGGAGGAGGAGGAGCAAGTGTTATGGGATGAAATGAATGCATCCCTTAGAGAAGAGGAAGCTGAATCTATGGTAATCCTCCTCTTGAACAACATTTTAATATCAATTTGTCAACTATAGGATTAGTATTTAAGCTGATTTTGATTTTAAATTTAAATTGTTTATATGCTTAAACTTTGGTCTAAATGATATCTATAACATACTCAATGAAAACTCTAAGGAGAAATCAGCGACAATTGTTAATATAAGTGTGTTTTACAATCTGCAGATTGGAAATTTAGGGGCAAATGGAAAAATGGCAAGTCCATATTCTCTCTGTGAACATGACACTTTTCTTGACGAAGAGATTGGCGTATATTGCAAATTTTGTGGTTTTGTTGTCACTGATATCAAAGATGTCTCACCACCAGTGGTAAGCATGGTTATGTTGATTTATATATAAACTAACTTGCTTAATATTTTCATCTTGATTTTGATTACAATTTTTGAACAAATCGTTATTAGTCCCTGAAATGTGATTTAGTGCAAAGGGTTGTTTAATTGCGGAGATAGCATTCTGGCATTGTGGAATTTAAACAATAGAGATTATATTTTCACTGAGATATGTTGATAAGATGCACTGAGTTTTACATACTTGTGTTGCTCATGACACAGGTTGATAGATTTCCCAACGGTTCGGGAAAAAGAGCTTCGTCTGATAATTCAGTAAATGTCTCACCCTTTGATGGATCTCAGTTCAATGTTTCTGATGGTGGTGACTCAGAGACTAATCATTTCTCTAATGGTAAAGGCACAGTTTGGGACCTAATTTCTGATGTGAAACAAACTTTATATCCTCACCAACAAGAAGGATTTGAGTTCATTTGGAAAAACTTAGCAGGAAACATCAATCTTCGTGAGTTGAAGTACGCCGATCCTCACAGAGAGGGTGGCTGTATAATTTCACATGCTCCCGGAACCGGAAAGACAAGGTTGACCATAGTGTTTCTCATGGCTTATTTGAAAGTTTTCCCGGAGTGTCATCCGGTTATCGTTGCTCCTGCGAGTTTGTTACTTACTTGGGAAGATGAGTTCAAAAAATGGGACATTGGAGTTCCATTTCACAATTTTAATAATCTTGAATTCTCTGATAAAGAGTACAAAGATGCTTTTAATGCAGATAATTGGTATTATTTACCTCATAGTAAAGATACAACGCGAAAGGCGAAACTGATTTCGTGGTTCAAAGAAAAGAGCATTATGGGAATCAGTTACAATTTATATGAGAAGCTAGCCGGAGGAGGAGGAGAATCCGAAGATAAGAAAAAGAAAAAATATGCAAGTGTGGAGAAGACAAAAGAAAACAGTGATATTGGAAAGGTTCTACGCGAAATTCCTGGTTTGTTGGTGTTAGATGAAGGACACACGCCAAGAAATCAAAGAAGTCGTATTTGGAAGGTTTTGTCCAAGATTCAAACAAAGAAGCGAATTATACTTTCCGGAACTCCTTTCCAGAACAACTTCTATGAACTTTACAACACTTTGAGCTTAGTGAAGCCTTCTTTTCCTAACACCATACCACGTGAGCTGAAGAAGTTTTGCCAGAAGCAGGAACCTAAAAAAACGTCAAAAGAATGGAGCTGGGAACCAATTCATGGCAACACAACAGAAAATCCTTCTGACAATAAGATCATGCAATTGAAGTTTTTAATGGATCCCTTTGTTCATGTTCACAAAGGCGCAATCCTTCAAAAGAAGCTTCCTGGACTAAGAGATTGTGTGCTAGCTTTGAAGCCGGACCGTTTGCAGAAACAAATTCTTGAGAGCATTCAAAGTTCTCAAAACACATTGATCTATGAGCATAAACTGACAATGGCATCAGTCCATCCATCTCTTTTGCTCGAATGTGGTCTTTTGGAAGAAGAGGAATCAGTTATCGACAAGAACCGGTTAGGAAAACTTAGATTGAACCCCTACGAAGGCGTGAAAACAAAGTTTTTGGTGGAGTTTGTTAGACTTTGTGATGCTGTTAATGAGAAAGTTCTTGTGTTCAGCCAATTCATCCGTCCTTTAAGCTTAATTAAAGACCAATTAAACATGGCTTTTAATTGGAGCGAGGGGAAGGAAATGCTGTACATGGACGGAAAGGTTGACCTAAAGGACAAACAATCCTTAATCCATAGCTTCAATGATGAAAATTGCCAAGCAAAGATTCTCCTTGCATCGACAAAAGCTTGCTCCGAGGGAATTAGCTTAGTTGGAGCTTCAAGGGTGGTTCTACTTGATGTTGTATGGAATCCGTCGGTTGAAAGACAGGCTATAAGCAGAGCATATAGGATTGGACAGAAGAAGGTTGTATACACTTACCATCTGCTCACTCAAGGGACTACCGAGTACCTAAAATATTGCAAGCAGGCGGAAAAAGATCGGTTATCTGAACTTGTTTTTTCGACTAAAAATACCGATATCGATGAGTTAAAGAGCTGTGCAGTGGAGTTTGAAGATAGAGTTCTTGATCAAATGAAACAGCATGAAAAGCTCAAAGACATGTTTGGTGAGTGTGTGGTACAGCCCAAGGAGCGCGATTTGGTTCAGAGTTTCGGCCATTCATTATGATGAATGTAAATTTTTTATCAATCCAGTTTTTTGGTTATGCATAGGACAAGAAATAATTTCAGAGGTAAGATTATTCTTGGTTCTAGGAATTTTTTTTCTTATCTTTTGTTAGTATATATAAAGAATCAATGATTTAGTTTGACAGAAGGATTATTGAAGCAAAAAACATAGCAGATCTTATTTCTACCATTTTGATTAGCTTTATTTGTCACACTATTTGTTTTATTCAATTCATGCTTCTAATGTAACTCCTTATTTGATTTTACAGATTAACAGTAATATAGTAATATATTATCACAAATTTAAAGCATCACTGTTAAATTAAAGAAAATAGATTATTAATTGGTTAAATATGTAGTCCCTTGAATATTTCCTAATTCAATTTTAATTTTTCAAAAATATTCTTTTACACAAGAGTTTTCTTAATGCTTCCTTCCATAATTTTGGTCTCTAATGAAAGCTGATGTGAAGGGACAGCTGACATATTTTTGACACTCTAGGTGGCCATGTTGGATTAAATACTTATAAATATTTGGTCTTTTTTGAATTATTTATAACAATGTCTTTAAATATCATCTTCTCCAAATCATGTTTTACCTTAACTCTCATTTTCTTCCCTAAATTTCCTGCAACTTTGCACGCAGATTTCAAACAAGGCAACCACATCTTTGTTTCATCTCTGCCAAACCAGTTTCAATGTCTTCTTCCAAATCAAGGCAAAACAAACTCGTGTCCACGTCTTCTTCATCGATTAAAAGCCGAATTGGAAGACTATGTGGGTGTCTTGCATTTTGAGCGATTTTTCATTGTAGCTTTGCCTTTGCATCTCCTGTTTTTTCCAAGTACCATTTATTTTTCATTTGTTTAGTACTGTCGCTTCCTACTTTTTCTTTTCTTGCAATGGCAGTTCTAAGTTCAGTGCGAGTTCTATCGAAAGTGGTAGTGAACCTGTGAATCCCCAGTTTGGCGGAAACATAAATAATCATGTAGGAGGAGTTAGAGGGGTGATCCTGGATCATCCCCGTAACGGAGAAGTGGGACATGGTATGTCCTCTCATGTGTTGCCCATAGCAGATTTTGAGCCTATTGAGGCGTATCGGGATGATTTGGGGGCTCGTTCCTATATTGAAACCTTTATGTCTTTGATTGGTTGGGAACCTAGCTGCAAGAAAGTTAGGGTGAATCTTGATTTTTGGGTGTTGTTGTAAGTGGAGGCCAATACTTTTATTAGAATTTGATATTTTTATTGTAGCATCTATTAATAATAAGATTTTTTTAAATTATGTTTATGTTTGTCAGTGTGTTTGATGAAGCATTGAGTGTGACTTAACTGTGAGACTTCATTAAACATAAGGACAATATTTTTAAAATATATGTTGTCAACATTATTGTGAAGTCAGATAACAATAAAATATTGAGACTATTATGTGGATAGTCTGATGATTACATCTCGCTATCCACGCACATATAATTATTAGGAGTAACATTTATATTTAATTGATCCACCATAAAAATACTACATTATATTGTTATGCATGTTTCATAATTTATTCTCAAGGTGATAGTGGTATCCTTTCGACCTGAACCTAGGGACCCTAGATGCAAAGTTAGGTAATTTATTGTTGATCAAAATTTATTCGTAACAAGATGACCATAAAGATGATTGATGGGTTACTCCACAAATCATGTTGAATGATATAAGCGACCTAAATGTAATTTGTTTATTTTGTATAACAGGGCAAAAGGGTGACGCACCTTGTAATAAATATAGGCACGAGAGCAAAAGGGTATTGTTTCGAGCCAACCGTATTGATCCCCAACGACCACTCTAAAGAAGTTGCAATCTTTTCAGAACCTTCACAACACACGAGAGTTACCCTACAAATAAGTACATGGGATTCAAATCCCAAATACATCCAATTGCTCTCCGCAACTCACGTCTAACAAATAATATGTTGTTATTTCCTCTCCATTATATAAAAAACATGTCAGTTTCAAGTATTCAATTTCAAATTCAATTTTGATTCACTCTTCTCCCTCAGATATTGACTTGAGCGTTGGAGTGTTAATCTTGCAGGTCATTCCAGTCTCTACCAAATCAGAAGCTCATATCCACCGTGATCACTAATCCTCACTCCATTTCTAGTTCCACAATGGAACAGGGGCACCGTCTGTGAGAATCGAATTCTCGCGTTTTCCATAATTGCATGGTCGTTCTTCGATTCGACGATTTGAAACCTTTCTAGTTTATCAGATCAAGAGATCTATGAATCAAACACGAATATATACCATGTTCAATCTGAACAAGCATCATATCAACTTTGATTTCATGGGTTTCCATATCCTTATCAGATAAAGAGATATATGAATAAAACACGAAGATATACCATGTTCGGTCCGAACAAGCATCATATCAACTTTGATTTCATGGATTTCCAAATCCCTAACTTCAAAGCTTCTCAGTAATGGTTGGATCAAAAAATACTCGTTCCGCCACAACACATAAAGATGTTGTCACGCTGCAGCTCAAACAACGATTAATCAACAAAAGCACCCTTCTTTGAAGGTATTTTGAATCAAGTCGCAAGACTACGCTACATCTAGATCTGCTCCAAGTTTCTTAGGTAGCTGGATCTATCCAAGTGCCTTCAATTGGACCTCTGATTCCTCCATCAGTTTCATAATTTGAAGCCTTACCTGGTTTCCAACTATTGTGAGCTAACTTTGGATTACAAGGCGATAATGAGTTGCTGAAAAGTATGTACAACATCATTTGACAAAAGAATTTACAAGCGGTCGGGGAAAGCTTTATTCATCTCGAAGAAAGCATGCATAACGCGCCTCTGTAACACCCCGATATTTAATTATTTATTTAATTAAATATTTTTGAATATTTTATATTAATTTGAATTTTTATCGTCGAAGTTGGAATTATTTTATTTAGTGGCATGATAAACAATCGGATTTAATTTGGTGGAATTAATTTGAGAATTATCAGTATTATTCTAAGAAGCATAATTAGATAAATATGTTAAGTTGAGCGGTAAGTTGATAGTCGGATAAATTAGACGGTTTAGTCGGAGAACTATTATTAGAATATTATTTGCGAGTTAGTATTATTTAAAGTGTGGATCGATCATAGTTGAAGAATATTATTGGAAATAGTATTAGATTATATTATGTGACTATTTATTTAATTGGGCTTATGTTGTGATAGTAGTAATAGTGGGGTGTGTATGTAGGCCCACTAAGAGAAACACTATTATTTGGATCAATAGAATGATATATATTATTATTAGAAAATAAGAAGAGAAAGGAGAAATAGGATTTGAGAGAAGAGGAGAAGAACGAGAAAGTTGCTGCTAGGGTCAATCTAAGAAATTCCATTGAAGCTTCCTTGAGTGCTTTCGAATCAAACCAGGTAAGGGTGGGTTTCTTATTCTATAATGAGTTATATGATATTTGTATGTGAGAATTTGTATGTGGCATCTTTATTGTTTCATTGATTTGTGTTGTTGTGATAAGCATGATTAGTATTGTTTTAGTTATAAAAATGTCAAAGAAGTATGTGGGTTGCTGTGTTAAACGCTTGTCTGGTTTGAATTTGGATTAGGAGACAGAAGAATTATTGAAGCAGTGTAGAAACTACGCATAGAAAATAAGTATAGGAAGTAAGATAAAGGAAATGAAAACGAAACTAGAAGTGGAAGTGCCGTCTGGAACTTATTGTGCCATGGGGGTTGTCGTTTGACAACCTAGGGAGAAAGAAAGAAGTGCCGATCGGCACAAGGCAATGGTGGGAGAAAAGTGCCACTTTGGAACTGTGAGGCAGGGGCATTTGCTTCTCTGTTTCTCTGTTTCGTCTTTCTATGGCACTATGCTGCATAACTTTTAAATGATATCAGTAATTTCTCATAGAAGTATATATGAATGTCACTGTTTTCAGTAGCAGTAAATTAAATTTAGTTGCTAGAAACTAGCTTTATGTGGAAGAATGACACATCCATTAGTTGTATAATAAATTAGTAATTTTAGGGAGAACAATTAACAGTGGACTATATATATATTTTAAATGGCCGAATTAGTATTTTATTAGTGATGAAAATAATTTAGCAGTGGGATTAATTGATTAAGTTGGTAAATAATTGGAAACGAGTCGATTAATTCGGTATGTTGGTATATTGACGTATTTTGCAAATTGACCGAAATGTCGTTTTGTTTCGATATCTCCGTGGTGAATAAATGTTGTGATTTACAAAATTATTATGATAAAGATTTACTTTGATTAATTGGTAATAACTGTGATATAGGCCTTTGGCCAATGTTGAAGGTGTGAATTGTTGTTATGTCAACCTTTATTATGTTGTTGTCGTTGTTGCGTTGCCAAGTTGTGGTTGTTTATATCATTGCATAGCATAGCATAACATTAAAGTTGGCCTGGATTGGCATGTTCTAAGTTGGAGCGAATGCTCACCACGTTGGCCTGGATTGGAGAAATATTAAGTTGAAGGCTTATGCCTTGTTGATGCCTCTATTTATTGGCTGATTTTCTAAGTTGGGAGTTTTGCTCCAATGGTACCACATGCATTTGCATAACATCGAGTCGCATTCTAAGTTGTACAATTGAGTTGTTGTGTTGATGAAATAATTGTTGCATTTTGATGATATCCAGTTGCGATTGTTGTTGTGAAGTGGTAGTTTTTGCATGACCTGGTTCTAACATATGATTTATCATGCGCTCACTTATACGATTTGAGAATCGCACCCCTTACTGTTTGAATGTTGTCCTCTGTTGGTAAAGTGCAGGTATTAAAGAATGAAGATTTGCTTAGTCTTATTAGTTCAAAGTTGGTTGGTCGCTCTGATACGTAGCACTCAGGGGGAAATGAACAAATAGTTGTTTACTTGTTGAAATTATTTTAGTTGTTGAATCCTAAGTTTAATTATATGAAATAATGTGTTTCCTCTCAAGTTGTTTTAGTTGAATGAAACATATGATGCTACTTGAAGTTGTAAATGATGAATCTGCTGCGTTATTAATAAAAAAAGTGGTTTGGTTTTAAAAGCTGATGCAAGTTGTTATATGATCCTATGAAAACTAAAGTGTTATGTATATGTTTATGTGTTGCAACATGTTGAATTGTGATATCCCAAACGTGTTGGAAATTTTTAAATACTCTAATTTTTCATTATAACTACCGGGTAGAATTTGGGGTGTTACAATAGTGATATTAGAGTAGGTCGGTCCGTCCGACCAAGTTGTCTAATGTTGTGTGTTCCTTAATGCGCGACAAGTGTGTGAAACACTGTCGGTACTTATTTGCCTTAATTGCAGGAAGTTGGTTGAAGATAAGTGGGGGATAAGTTTTTCTTCTCGGATATGTTCAATTGAAAGGTGTTGGTTCAGTGTGCTGCCAACGACGACAATGTAAGAATTGTTACCCTGGTGTTTTGCAACCTGAACTTTGGCGAAAGAATGCATCTCTTGAGTTATAAGAAGTTTTGGAGCACGAGATATGTTAAGAGTTGTTTGGAATGTGTCTAAGTTGAAGACAAATGAGTTTCGGAGTGGAATTTCCGTAAGCGAATTGCAGGAAATTGCAAAATTGTTGTGGGACTTCAGAAATTCATAACTAGAGTTCCAGGCATCTGATTTGAGTTCCGTTTGAAGCATTGGAAAGATAATAAAATGAGATTCATTTTAAAAATGGTTCCAGTAGCTGTAATAGATTCATTTATCACGTGATGATATTGGAAGTAAGTGCAGTTTATTGTTAAGCTTGTCTTTGGGACTAGACTTGTTCTTCAGTGTTGTACGGGACGTCAGCGCCCGAGTTGGGTGAATTAAAGGAGCAATTGGAAGATTTA